TTCTCTTGTTGTGGTAAGAATTTCAAAAATTTTTATTGGAAAATTTTCTGATTTCTTATTATCATTTAGATAAATATGTATATTGCCGTTATCTTAGAAAATTTTTCTCAGGCACAAGAAGATGTTCAACAAGTATAGTCGATGAAAAAAAAATGTTTTTTTTTATTTTTTATTTTTATTTTGTTTAGGGCTTAACTGATGATGATTATGATATGTATTATGAAAAATGGCAACATTTAGATCCATCAGGTTCACAATTTATACGATATGATCAATTATCAGATTTTGTTGATAATCTTGAACCACCATTACGTATTCCTAAACCAAATCACTTAGTACTTGTTGGTTTAGATTTACCAATATGTGAACATGATCGTATGCATTGTGTTGATATACTTGATGGTCTTACAAAATATTTTCTTGGTACACTTCATGTACCAATAACAAGTACTGAAGCTGATGCACCAATTGATATAAAAAAAGATCGTCCAAAAGATTATCATCCCATAACAACAACAGTACAACGTCAACGTAAAATTTATTTAAGTCGAATAGGTTTAAAAGGTTTTCGAAATAATGTTGAGCGACGTCGAAATGAACGAAAAAATCAAGAATTAATGCTTGAAAAAACTATAGATGATGAACTTATTGAATCAAATGACTTAGATACAACACCATTAGTATCGAATGATAATCAAAATTATGAAACAAATTGAACAACATCAACATAATTGAAACAACGATGAATACTAACTGCTTTTTGATACATCATCAATTTGTTTTTCTTTTTTTTGCTACGAAATCATCATGATAATGAGACTTAAAAAACATAGAAACCAATGTTTATTTATTAGACTCAGCTTTTTTTTGCCATAATATGATTACTTTATGTAGAATTGCATTTCTATATACAAGGTATCTCAAAAGTCTGCCGGAAAAGTAAATTTGTATAACTTCACTATTTAGAAAAGCTAATCAACTAATTTTTTTTTCAAATGATAGGTACCACTATAAAATTCTTTTTGATACGGACAAATTTCATAAATATCGTTCAAAATTATTACTTTTGACTGAAATACAAAAAAGCAGTTATTTTCTAATTTACAAAAATACCACTACGTAGTGTTTCTCTTATAATACTTCAGTTTCCTGCGTTTTCTTTTTTGGCATTTAGATGGATCAGGCGAAGCCTAATGATGTAAAGTCTGGTGATCACAAAGCTCATGAAATCGCTTCATATTTTCGAACGATGTGTAGCGAACTAGAGGAAGTGAACCGATCTTATGATCTTCATGATCACCAAACTTTATATCATTAGGCTTCTTTTTATAAGGAAATATCAAAACAAATGCATTGAAATGATAGCGCACGGTCTGACCCATCTAAATGACAAAAAAAACGCAAGATACTGAAGTATTAAAAGAGAAACACTGCGCAGTAATTTTGTGGAAATCGGAAAATGATTGCTTTTTTTGTATTTCAATCAAAACTAATAACTTTGAGCAATATTTATGAAGTTTGTCTGTATCAAAAAAAAGGGTGTGGGTGTGGGTAAAGAGGAAAATGATATCCACATCCACACCTACACCCACCCTAGTTTTTTCTTGAATTTCAAGCGCTTT